GATGACTACATTGCCAGAATGTAGACTTTACAGATGTTTTTAATAAATGTTCTTGTAGAGTATTCAATAAAATGTTGGTTCCAGAATAGCATATAGTATGGGTTGTAGATATTAGTATAGTTGAAGTATAAATCTAGAAAGAGATTATGTTACTTAGCAAGAGAGTTAACAAGGTTGTTTAGATTATTATTAATATGAGCTTGTACTTTATGAAAATTGATTTGAAGATTATAAGATTTAATGATATTTAGTGAGGTATACCATATAGGCCATGTATTAAATTTAAAAGGTTTATTAGGATTAGAAAGTGTAATATAGATGTTAGTATATCTAGTAATGATAGATTGAGAATCTGTAAAAATATTAATTATTGCATTTCAGGATGTAGTAGAAATAGCTAAAAGAATAGCCATTAGTTCTGTTTTGTAAAATAATAGTCAGAAGTTGATTTTGGCAGAAAATTTGTAAATAATTTGATTATTATTATTGACCTGAACCTAGGCAATATCTATTGTACATTGGTCAGTTCCAATTTTAATTACTGAACCATTAGTATCAAAATTAAGTTGTTGAGAACTATTAAGAATTGAATATTGTTCAAGTATATTTGCTGTTTTACTAGTTTTAAATATTTTGAAAACATAAAAGTTAGAAATTAGAATTGTTGCTACTGAAGGAATTGATAGTAGATGTTTGATAGCTGTTGAATAAATAAAGTCAATATAGTTGGCATTAAAGTTTAATGAATTAAAATTGACTCTTTCTAGGAATTGAAAAAAGATAATTGCTAATATATTAATTGTATATAAATTTTAAATTCTATTGAAGTTTAAATAACAGGCTAGATAAGGTAAGCTTTGGGTTGATAAAAGGTGATAGTAGCCAGAATGATTTATATCAATATTTGTTTGCCAGTATGTAATAGATATTTGATTAGTATTTTTAAAATATTTGCAGATTTTGTTAATAATAATTTTATTGTTAGTATATATAAGTAACCAAGGTTTAGATTTTTTAGAGATATGTTATAAACTATATACAAATAAATTGTATCCTGATTGTTGGTAGTGTGAAAGAAGGATTCTAAAACTATTGTAAACCATTATAGTATCTTCCAAGTAAGTGAACTATAATGGTTTTCAGCCTCTAAGTAAGTATAACAGTTGTAGTAAAAAATGTTTCTATTTTAGTAAAATGGTGTTGTTAGCTGTACAAAGCTGTTCAAGGTATAAGATGTTGAGATTTCTGATCTTTTTTGAAGCTAATGTATTGAGAGTGTTGAGATAAAATTGATTTTAGTAATTGAAAATTATATGATATAATGTTTGGCCATGAAATATTGAGATTAGTTATTATAGATATGTTTAAGTATTTTAGTAATTGAATAATTTTAAAATTCAAAATATGTTTATTTGGACCATCAATGATGGTATTAGGATGTTAAAATATATTAATAGTTGACTATAGATTATTTTGAAGCTGTGTAGTCTGATATGTATTGAAGTTTCTAGGAAGTTAGAATGTTAAGTCGTAATAGGAAGTTGGTAATATGATGTTGGAGTTGAATGTTTCATATATTGTAAATGATGTACAGTATAGGTTAAGCATAATACTATTAGGAATTGAGCATGCTAGGTGGGATTTGTGTTTGGCAATGGTTAGATATTTATCAAAAATGTTATTGCATATGGAGTGAAGCATAATAATGTTGTGTAATCTATATTCAAGTATGAGTATAATAATTGTATTAATTATATAGATAATTTGTTTATTCATAATTTTCTTTGTATTAGCAATGTTTATAAGTTGAAGTGTTTCTTTTTAAATAATTTTGATTTGTTCAGTTTGTTTGTTATTAAGTATAAACCAACAACCTAAAAACTTAAATAGTTGGTTAGCAGGTATAGATTCTAAGATGAAGTTAAAGAATTGAATATTAGATGTAGGTAAATTAGAAATAGAGACAGATTTGGTAGCATTGATTTGAATATTAGTCATTAGGTAGAAAGATGAGGCAGTTTGGATAATTTGTTCTAGTTCTTGTTTTGTTTTTGCTATCTAGAGTGTATTATCTATATAAGCTAATACTGATGTAGATGCATAGAAACTTTGAAATTTAAGTGGTTAAAGATAGGTCTTCTAAATTGTAAATAATGAATAACCTTTATATTAAGATGCAATTCTGTGGATAAGTGGGTCATAATAAATGCATCAGAATAGTAGAGTTATTGTGTCTCTCTAGTCTATTCTATTTTTAACTGTATATAAATTAGTTAGCCCAAGGTTGGTAATTACTCTGTTTTAATAGTTTGTTAATAAATTAGTAAGTATATTAACTAACTTAGAAGGCATGTTGATATAAATTAGTGCTTTTCAAACAGATTCAGATTAACTAAGTTATATGTTTTGCTTATATCTTAAGATATAAGCCAAAGTTGTTTAGAGTTGCAAAATGCATCTTTGATTATATTATTTAAGATATGTATAAATATAGCTGTGCTATTGCTTGGCAGAGCAATATAATTGTAGGATAATAAGATCTCATATTTGGTAAGTACTTGGTTTAAGCAATTTGTAAGAAGTTTTGTATATAATTTTTGGCATGTTCAAAAAAGATAATAGGTCTGATATTGATTAAGTTGCAGTTAAAGATAGGTTTTTTAGAAATTAGAAAAATTCTACTCTCTTTCTATTGCTTAAAAATTTGATTTAAGGTAATATATCTATTTAAAAAGACTGTAATTGCTTGAAGAAAGAGTATGTTTATATGTTTTAACATTTAATAACTGATGCCAGAGGAACTATAGGCCTTGTTATTTGGAAGATAAGATAATGTTTTAGTTACTTCAGTAATAGTAAATTCTTTAATAATATTATTGTACTACTTGGAGTTAATGTGCATTTTGTAGTTATATTCTTCTTTTCAGTTAGATTCAAAGATTTGTTAGTTGGTATATTTAAAGGATGTCTATTGGTTAAAATGTTATTGAATATGCTGTTTAATATCTTAAGAGTTAGTGATTACATTATTGTTTGTTCTAATGTTATTGAATTTGACTAAGTCCTTATAATAGTTAATTCGTGATCCACATGGGAACCAGTAATCTACAATAATAAAAGTTGGAAATAATCTACATATACAATTTTACTTAATTTTCGAATCTACACATTCCCAATATAAAAAAAATTATTTTTATATGTTCATATTATTTTTTTAAAAAAATATACTAATACATTAAAGATATCTATCTAGCTTTTAAATAAATAATACTAAGAAAAAAACATTGATTCTAATTAAATACTTAGTACTATCTAATGTATTAAATATGACAAATACTACCGGGGCAGCCTTCCTAAAGTTTAAGTTGATAAATGATATAACTGTAAATATATAAAAAAGTTATAATGTGAAAAATTAATTCGGCTATGTACGCAAACTTACAGCATGTTGTAACTTACAGCTGTTATCATAATTCCTAGGACATCTGTAAAAATTGGCTGACTGATTTTTTGGCCGATTTGGTTAAGTTTGTGATTTTGGAAATATAGATTCAATAGATAAATTGATATGTACATATTACATGTAAAATATATATACCAATCATACTGAAATCAATAAATTAACCGAATCAGCTGAAAAATCATTCAGCAAATTTTATCAGGTGTCCCAGGAATTATGATAATAGCTGTAAAGAAAAAAGTTATAACTAGTTATAACTCAGTTATAGTATGGGCCATCCCAATTTCAAGTTTCGCCTGCATCTCTAACTGTGACCAACACAGTATTTTATTAATGAATTTATTCTATAAACCATTATATACTGCAGCAATGACGCCAATTGTCAACCTGAACTTTGGAGAGCTGCCTTGTGTATCGTCATAAAATAGTGCAATATTTGTATTAAATTTTTTGAAATAATAATAATTCTTTATTTTTTATTATTAATGGCGTAAATACCTTCTTTCTTATATAATGAAAGGTTTTATTGACTGACAAGCAAAATTTCACATTTAAAAATAATAGCTCGATAAATATTGCTTAATATCAACATAATAAAGGCCAATGCACATAATATATAACTTTTTTGATCTAAATTTAACTAAACACTATGGTGTGTATAGTAATAATTGCTCATTATTGTTATCGCTATCCCTAATTTTAATTGCTATTACAATCAAAATGCACGAATCTGGACACTCAAAGTATCAATACATATGATTTGCATTTTATCTATTATCACACACTGAGTATCATCACTTTCATGTGAGTTATTTCAAAATAAATTACTTGCATATAAATGATCATAATAAAATTCTAAGTTTAATATATTAAACCAAATACCCAACCTTTAAAATTACCTGTACATAAATAAAATCTAAGTTTGGTATATCAAACCAGATACCCAACTCTTAAAATTCGATATGAACATGAATCAAAGTGTTTGGTATTTGGCTTGAAATACCAAATTTAGTTCAATTTTTATACGCATATTACGGGCTTTAAGACCACGGGCATCTTTTTTGCTAAACATGAAAAATTTTAATCTTATTCATTGCACTTTTCAAATTAACAAGACAATCAAATCTATAAATTTCAATTGTTTTATAGTAGTAATGCATGGGGCTCATACAGTAAAATCCACAAAATTCAGTTATTTGATTTGAAAAAAGCGATAAGTTTAGACATTTCGAGATACATCAATAGCATTCTTTTACTAAAATTCCTGTTTCTGCTTATTTTAAATTAAAAGTTTTGATAAGCATTATTCAGGATAGTTTACTGTAGAACTTCAATCTTTTATAAATATTAATCAAAATAAAATAACTTTCGAGCTTAAATGCTCTAAATTCAACAAGTTGTTAGTGATTATAAATAAAATTTACTAAGCATAACAATTTGTAATTTTAAAAAAATGTGTCAATATAAAAGTAATTTACACAGCACACCAACAAAGCCTTTAGTATATAAAACTCAATCTTACATTAGTAAATATATTAACATGTTAAAATACAAAGTTACGATTATATTACAAGGCAAACTAATACAAAACTTACATTTTGGGCCATATGCTAAAGATTGGTGGATTTCATGTCCAACTCATAATGGCTTAACATATACACTTCTCTATCCAATTCATCTTGGGATGAAAACTATAACTACAGTAAACCAGCATGACTTCATAATTACAGTTGTTCAGAATAATTTTGAACCTGAGTATATATGTCAATCAGAAGCTTTGCAAAATAATATATGTCAAAGTTCCTCAAAAGCAATTACTTCTATATATCAACAAGCTTTTTCTACAAAAACTAGATTAGATAGTCTCTTAGTTATGGGTTATGATGATTCAGAGATATGTAAAATGTTACTTTCCGATATTTATTTTCATCCTTATACTTTTAAAATTGGAAACTTAAATGTGATTATTTTTGAAATTGGTAAATCGAACAACCCTGATTGGAATTATGCTGGAAAAGGATATCGAAGCTCTTTTGTGCATAACTTTTGCAAAACTCGAATGATATTTTTTCAAGAATTTAATAATAATAATGCGATTGCTAGAATTTATCAAAATTTTTAAGAAATTCAGATTTTTTGTGATACTAACCCTAATTCTGTTTGGAGTAAAATTGGTATATTAGCATAATTTACAGGAAGCATGCTATTTGGACTTGAACATGAACGAACGAAGTCAGAAATCAGCAAAGAACTAACCCTTTCATGTACTGTTGATGATTGGCAAAATGAACAAATAATGGATACACTTTTTAATTATCATCTGAGAAGACATATCAATATATCTATAATTTGGAAAAATTTTTTTATTAGCTGGCAGAATTAAGAAAGTAATCTTATTGAATTAATAACAAAATTACAAGAAATATACCCACCAAACTATATAATTAAAGGTTGTGAATTGCATGCCTAGAGAGCCTTATTATAACATACAGGCTGTACCAACATAACACCTTTTGGAAAAGAATCTGTGGTAAACCTTTTAAAATAAATAAATAATAAACAAATATATACTGTGCATCAGATTAAAATATGTGTCAGATTTCATACACCATATGGAGTCCTGATGAGGTTCAAAAAAAAAAAAAAAAAGTTTGTATCAGATCAAAATTTAAAGTAGAAACGAGTAAAATGCGACAACGTCACCCTTATAGTATTTTACTATGGAGGTAAAAAAAAAAAAAAAAAAAAAAGTGGGAACGAGGATAATTTTTTAAGATAACATAAATATTAATCTGATGCACAAATATATGTATAATTCTAACTTTACAGTTACTTGTAGTTTGAATTTTGGACTCGATCAAAAGACTCAGCAAGTGACTAAGCGATGTTAAAGCAGTTGTACAAAAGCAGATACCTTAGTACTACTTCAGAAAATCACAAAAAGGTCGCAGAACAATTTTGGAGTGCATTTCAGGATGCTTTAGATGTTAACATTCGTGGAATAGATAAAAAGAGAAGAATATTGTCAATTATTGCGGATAAAATTCCCTATGAAATAATCAAAAAAAAGTTACTAGTTAGTATCTAAGCAATATTAAAATATTTTTAAAAAACCTTTGAACTAACAAAATACTTATCTTAGGTCTCAAACTATCTAATTACTAAAGCATGCAAATATGCGTGTATTAATGGTTCAGGAGGTATCCAACTTGAAAAACCTAAGATTACTTTAGAAAAATTAGCACCAGAAAAGAAAGAACAAATTGAGTATTTTTTTCAAAATAAAGCGAACATAGTAATAAGCTCTTACAAATCAGATAGTACTACTGGATTACCTGTATAATATTTAAAAAATAATAAAGAGGCTTTATGGGAATGGTTTCATGAAGAGTATCCTAATGGCATTAAAAGAACAACATTTTATAAATATCTACAAGGCAGCCAATATATATATAAGGAAGACTTAGGTGGTCTTTGCTCAATCTGTAATATGTATGGATATGAAACATTTGATGAGCTTAGAGCGTTAGTACAATGCTATGCAGACTTGGATCATCAGGTATTAAATTCAATATATTAATTAGCACCTTTGGAGATTAGTATAATATAAATAAGCAGATCAGTATGATACAGGACAACTATACCATACTGATCAGCTATAATTCCTAACTCTAATGTTAATATATGGGTGCGCAAGGGGAAAAGACTGTAAGTAAAAATGTTTTCACTAAAAAATTGTAATGTTATGTAATGAAACATATATATTATACATATGATTAATTACGAAAGTAACATCATAATTTTTCAGGTAAACTATTTTTACTTACAGGTTTTCTCTCTCATGCACCTATATATAATACTGGATTCAGTATGGTACAGATTTTCAAATCGGCCCGTACATACTATACTAATCTGTAATCTAGCACCCTTTGAATGCTATTCAACATGTTTGCTACAATAATTCTATCATGTAATTCCACAGACATAAATGTCCACGAAATTATCATATTACAAGTTGAATAGTATTCAAGGTATGTCATTAATTTGTCAATTTGAATCTGACATGTGTTTGCCTTTTAATATCAACTAATTCGTAATTCAATAATAATAAGGAATGATTATTATCCGAATGTAATAACCTACAAAGATATTTAAAAAAGGATTACAAAAATGAACTCAAAGTAGATTTTTTTGGATATATAAAACACGATACCTGTATTAATCATTGTATGCTCTATGCTTTTGGAACCTGCTTAGAATTGCATAAACTAAACTGTAATCATTGTGGAGTTTTTTTTTTACATATTTAGACAAATTCAAGATTACACACTATCTGAAATTCATGTAGAATTAAAAAAACTACAAGAATACTTATTATACTATTTGGCACATCAAACAAGAAAAGTTTATTTAAATGCGCAATTTAATGCGCATTTAGGTGAGCTTGATTAAAAAGAGGCCGTAATTGTTGTAGACTATAAAATGAAAGTTCTACCAAAAAGTGTATGTGAAACAAAACAAGACTTTTTTGGAAAAAAAGGATGGTCATTGCATTCAGTATTGATATATACTCGTCTGCCCAATAGTAATAATTTACAAGTTCGTGCTTTTGACCATTGGTCTACAGATTCACGTCAAAATGCTTGGTTCACAGCTTCTTCATTACATGCTGCAATAACTGAACTCAATCCTCAGCCAGAATGGATTTCTTTTTTGTCTGATAATGGTCCTTATTATCACAATGCAGATCTAATAATGATTATGGGGTTATAGAAAGAATGGTACAATATTCATGTTAGAAAATAGACTTTTCTCAAAGCTGGGGAAGCCAAAATGACCATTGATTCTCATCATGCACAGGTTTACCTACCAATTTTTTTTTTTTCCTTTTTTGCTTTGCTTTTATTTTATTTTATTATTTTTTATTTTTTATTTATTTATTTTTTTTTTTGAATGTTTTCTAGATTTCACACGCAATCAGTCATCGCATCCATCTAGGATTTGATATTTCACAAGGATCAGATATTGAATTAGCAATTGAAGGAATTCGTGGAACATCAGTGGCCTATCTAGAACCAGAACGTACTAAAGGTAAGACAAGCATATAAGATTTAAAGTATTGAATAAATTGACCTTTTTTTAGTTTCAGATAAAAAATGGATCAATACTTTACTGGATAACTCCAATTGGTTCTCATGGGAGTGGCTATGCGATGGCGATTATGCAGGATACATTCGAGCACATGCTATACCTAATATTGGTGAATGGAACAATTTTTCACTGGCGAAATTAGAGAAATTGAAAAAGAAAGAAATACAAAAACCGCATCCTCAAGTAACTTAGCATTCGATCTCCAAATCCTCATGGTTTATCCCATTACTACATAAATCAGGTAATATGTCTCTATTCTATTATATTTTTTTACAAATTATATGATTATCTGACCCATATTTTTAGGAGTTATTTCTCATCACTCAATGGCTGACTATTTACAAGAACTAAGCAAAGAAAAAAAGTAATGTTAAATCCGTTCATAGTTATAATTTTTTATGTCAATATATAGACTTATAAAATTTATAACATACTACTAAATGAAAGCGTGTATGAAGAATTTCCACTTACATTAGGGTGGGCGTTAAAAGAAAATCAAAAATTCAGAAAAAAAGGAGCAGGTAAAAGAATTAGTAAGCACGTAATAGCTTATTTGGAAGAATATTTTTTGGTAGGTAATGCTGATAAAAGTGACAGATATAGCACGGAAGAAATGTGAAATGAATTAATAGAGTTAGTAAAAATGGGTGATCTGAAGGAAAGCGACGTTTCAAAAGTGTCAACTATTCAAAACTAGATCACAAGATATGCAACGCAATATAAGCAAAAAACAGTGCAAGTAAAAATTTACGATAGTATATAATAAAAGTTTACATATGTATGTACCCAAATCGCAAAGGTTAAGGTTTTAGAGGAGCAAAATCTGGTGTTTCCCCAATGTAAAGTTTTAATAATCGACTTTTTTTAAAAAAAAATACCAATACTTGATTCTTTTGGTCTTATGTAATCGATTGTACTACTACTTTAATGCAATCGGAATTTAATTTGTCTGGTTAATATAAAGTAAAAGTTTGTCATTTTTACTTTTTTTATAAGTGATCTGCAAATATTTTCCCAAAATCTAATAATAAATTTCACTGTTTCCCATGCAAATTACAAATTAAGTATGTTATTAATTATTAATTTTGGATTTGATTGAAGTTTGAAGCATCTTTTAGAAATATTATTATTAATTTGTTATCTTATTTCTTTGATATTTTCTATATTGTAGACATGGTAAATAGATTTTCATTCAGTTTTAGCAAGTGCTAGTCAGTTTGGTAGTAAGTTGTAAACAGTTGGTAAAGATGAAACATTAAGCTAATTAGATATGTTTATTTGATTAATAAGATGATTATATTGATATAGTATAGAAGTAGAGTTTTTTAGTGAGTATTTGACTTGTTTAATAATATTGCCTAATTTTTTAAAATGTTAATATAAAGATAATGCTTTTGTAGAAAAGATATTTTGAAAGTTTCTAACAGTAAATTTTTTATTTGGGATATGTTGTATAGCAGCAAAGATAATACTGTTTTGGATTTTGTGCCAGGAAGATTTAAGTAATTCTAAGGTTTGTGTGCTGAGTAGAATTTTGTTATTATTAAGATTTGAGATTACTTAGTCTGCAAATTGTTGCCAATTATCTTTATTCATGTTTTTGTATAAAAATGTTCTTCTATGAGTTTTGGTAAAATGTCCAAGTTTGCCTATATATGCATAAGGAAAGAGCCAATGAAAGTTCAGAATTTTATAATTACTCTAGGTACTAGTATTAGAATTATCTATAGTAAAAGAATTAAGATATCGAAGAAGAGGTTGATTAGCCCAGATATAGTCTATACTACTCTAATATCTGTTGCTTTGCTAGATAGATATTGAGTTGTAGATATATGTAGCTAGATTATACATATTGTTGTATTGAAGAAAATGAAACAACTTGTATTTTATTGAAGAAGAGTAGGTGATACTATTAGAAGCATTGATGTCTTCTAAGATAATTGGTTAGATATTTGATATGTAGACTTGTTGAAGCCATTGTATTATAGTATTTTGTACTGACAGTCTTAGTTGAGTATTATTACATAGTAAATAAACTGAGATAATTTTGAATTTAAAGTCATGTTTAAAGAAAATATTTACTGTGATAGCATATTCTGAAAAAGAAAGTATTTTGTAGATATGGGTTTTTATAGACTTGTGAATCATGATGACTGTCATCAAAAAAATTATATATATAGATATATATCAATTACTAACTAACTGGATATATAGTAATAGTAATCACTTCTGTTGAGTTTTATCAATTTTAATTATAATCACTATATAGTCAATTAATATATACATTAATTTATATCATATTTGATATTAATTGATATATAGCTGATATAAGTAGTTAATGTCAAATTAAAATAATATCATATCGATTAAAATAAATGCACTATTGTACATATTATATACTATACATTGAATTTATTTTAGAATCCAAACTATCAAATTTATTAAACCAATTTGTTTATAATTTTATTTACAATTATATTTAATACAATTAAAATGTAAAAAAAAGCAATACATGCAATACAAATAGCAATTACAAATTACAAAAAAAAGAAAAAAGACAAATTAAAAAAAAATGCTAAGGTTTAATCCCAAACAATTGATTTATATTGTCTTGAAACATTTGCATCATGTTGCTTTGTTAAGATAATAGTTCTGCTTCTGATTTACTGCTATTTAGTGTAATTGCACAGAACCTTTGGCTCTTATTATTCATAAGTTTATTATTAGTTAATAATTTGGCAGATTTATAAGATGGGCTGCTATTAGCAAAGTTATTTTACAATTAATAATGTTTTTTGATACAAATTTTATATAAGTATATATGATAAAACTTACTAGAAAGTGCTTCATGCATCATTTTATTTTACTCTACTTATATATTATATCTTTTGACTTGGAGTTTAATAAAATATTACATACAGCAAGTGTGAAAGCACAATGTTCATCAAACAAGGTGAGTACTGCAGTTGTAGAAAAGGCTGACTTTACTATTACAACTACCCAAAAAGCACCACTTTTATTTTGTTCAAAAAGAGAGCAATAACAACTAATAACTTTCTCACTTTGTTTTTACTTTACTATATTAGACATTACAGTATTACTCTTTAATAGAGGGAGTCTTTTATATCCAAATATATGCCAAATGGCAGATATAACATTTTGCAACATAACATTTTAAAAAATTTTCATTTTTTGTAACAACTATCACATATAATTATAATGTATTAATTAGTAATATAATAAATAAAATAAGTAACCTAAAAGATTATAAGAAATTATGAGCAATTATAATCAATAAAAAGTTATAATATATAGAACTAGACTATTTAGCATGAAATCAATTAGTAAATTTATTTGTGCTTATATTTGACATAAGGTTGAGATACATTTCCTCAAGATAATCTCTAAGGGATTCTTAAAAATGTTTTGAGAGAAGTACATGTCTTAAAAGAACAAGCACTTTATAACATTAGTAAACATATCTGTTTTTGCAATATATTTATAAAAACAATGCTTACTATGTGCATTTCAAAGCTTTTACTAAATGATTTACTTACATCTAGTACTTGACTTGAAAGTTCATTATTTTGTTTACTTTGTTGCTATCTTAGTTTGGCTTTAACTTCATGTATATCATTACACAGCTTTCTAATTAAATAGTATAACTACAAGTTTTGTGCAAAAAGGCATTCTTCAGCAAGATAGTGACTTTGATGGTTATAGTAATGTTCTTTTAATGACAAAAAGTTTTTTTTTTAATATAAAAAAAAAAAAAAAAAAGTGTAATAGTAATTTAAAAAAAAAAAAAAGATTTTATATAACTAATTACTATCTTGATTATGTTGTTAATTTTGATTGTATGATCTTTTGTTCAGTGATCTACCTCATGATTTAGTATCAGGTTGGTCATGTTGTGGTAATAATAAATGATCCTTATAGTTATTTGGTGAAGTATGATGAGAGCAAGAAGGTTGGTGGTTTCTATTATTATTTGGTAAAGGTTAGCAGAATTGTGGTTGATGAGGTTGTGAATGATGACTTGCATTTTGGTACAATTGACATTAGAATGTTCAATATCTACTAGACATTCTTAAAAAGGTACTATGAATGCTAACAATAGTTTTTGCTAAATCTGAAAAATCATTATTATTATTAGTATAGAGAGGTTTATCAAAAAAAAATTAGAGAGTTATATATCGATTGGTAACTGAAGGATATATAATAATATAAATCACCTCTGCTAATTTATAATGATTGTAATACTAATTGATATATAACAAAAAGAATATAAATCAATATATAACCAAAGCAATTATAATCAATATATAACCTAAATGATTAGAATCATATTAGATAATTTATCAATTATAATTACTTAGATTATATATTGATTATAATCAATAGATAGCTATAAGCTAATTATAATCGATATGTACTGCTATACTCATAATATTAGAATTGATATATACAAATTATTATATTAAATATTGCAGTGATTCATTTTTATATTTATCAACTTAAAGTGAATAAAATTTATATATTTAAATTGAATACAATTTATTTTATATATATGAAATATATTTTGCATGCAATATATTAAAAATTATAAAAAAAAACAATGCTACCAATAGATCCCAAACAATTCATCTTGTGCATTCTGCAAAAGAATTAAAGAATTACTTCAGAACAGAAAAGTTGTATTGAGGTCAGGTTCAATGTTAGAATTGGCCTGTATTAATTGCATTTGTGTTGATTGTTTAGCTTCATGAGAGCCTAAAGCAAGCTCATTATTAATGATCATGTTGGCTAATTCTTAATTAGAACTGCTGTTATCAAAGTCATTCTAGTATAATAAAGGTTAATATTTATTTTGTAGTTACAATTGATATGTTACAAATACTTACCAAATAGCACATCATGCAACACTTAATTTGACTTTCACTACAGCTATAGAGATTCAATATAATGTCATATACAGCTAATATAAAGGCACAATGATGATTTGTGAAAGTAGAAGCAGCAGTCATGCTGAATGCAATTCTTGCAATAATTGCAATTCAGAAAACATTTTTATTATCTTGCTCATAGAGTGCACAATAGCAATTATACATTTCTTGGCTTTGTTTTCACCTTACTATATTCTTAGCACTAGCATTGCTTCTGAGACAAGGAAGCTTTTCATAACAAAATACACTCCAAATTGCTGAACATATGTTTTACAATGCTGAACCACACAGGTTCTTCATTTTTTGTAAGAGCTATTGAAAATTAAATATCATAAAAAATGCTTAGACCTATTGAAAATGATTGATAATGATATAAAATGATATATATAGATGTCAAATATTATTGCTTATTTGAGAACATTACATACTATAAAACCAGTTTACAAAATTATTAGCACTTAAGTTCACTATAAATTTAGAGAAATTTTCATTCAAGTATCCTTGAGTAACTTCTTTATTTCATCTTGAGTAGGATATATTACATGTAGGAAAAGACATTTGATAATGCTAATATATACTTCTTATGAAAATGTAAAAACAAAAATGCTTAGAATATGCCAAAAAAAAAAAGCACTTAGAATATGCCAAAAAAAAAGCACTCAAAATATGCTCT